ACCTTACATTCCATAAGGAGCACTATGTTCTTGCAGAACAATACATGAACTGCAAGTACAAAATGTTTTCCGAGCTGATTGTGGCGCTTATGATAGCAGAGAAGAATAATGAACTTCTCATCAAAAACCACAATGCTCGGCCTGCAGGAACCAAAGCATTCCCTGAAGTGAATGCAACGGATGTAAAAAAATCCGGAGAAAAAGGATGTAAACTATCCTGAGAAAGGGAATCAATCATATCGGGGTCGTGGTGGTCGTTTTAATCGTGGGCGTGGAAGAAATTACAACTCACGTGGAAGGGGGTCGTTCAAATGGGTTCGTCCTCAAAATGATTCCAAAGGGAAGGAACACCAAGAAAATTCCACCCAGAAGAGTGAGAATGTGTGTTATAGATGTGGATCTAAGGGACATTGGGCCCGTACGTGTCGAACCCCTCCACATCTTTGTAAGCTGTACATGAATTCCACGAAAGGAAAAGGGAAAGAAGTCAATTTAGCAGAAAACTTCGAGGATACATCGTATCTCGAAAATTTCGAGGATACATCGTATCTCGAAAACTTCGAGGATACATCGTATCTCGATTCTCCCTCCTTTGCAAATGATTTGGATTAGACCACTTTTGCGGTTAACTAAAGAGCTTGTATTGAGACTGCTGAAATAGTCTCTAGTTATGCCATATCTGTATAATATTATGCTTTTGTTATTTTGAAAAATAATGTTGTTTTAACAACAATTTAATGTATAATTATTGTGTGTTTCCCTTTTTATGAATAAAATTTACTTTCTTTTTATTGATGTTTATCTTAATCACAGAAATGGATGAAACAATCTCCAAGGAAATGGCTCAAGAAATTTGTATACCAGATAGTGGAACAACACACACTATTCTGAAGGACAAAATATATTTTTGTAACTTAAAACCGACAAACATTATTGTCAATACAATATCAGGTCCTGTAGACGTGATTGAAGGAACTGGTATGGCCAACTTTATGTTGCCTAATGGAACCAAGTTTTCCATAAAAAATGCCTTGTATTCTCCAAACTCTAAAAGGAATTTGTTGAGTTTCAAAGACATATACCTTCAAGGATATGATACTCAGTCTGCAACTGAGAATGAAAAGAAGTATATGTACATAACTTCTGATAAATCGGGAAAAAGGCTTATATTGGAAAAATTTCCAAAACTTCCTTCAGGATTGCATTATACTCATATAAGTGCAATCGAATCGCATCTAGTGATTAAAAGAAATCCAGAAGATTTCGTATTATGGCATGATCGCCTTGGTCACCCAGGCACCACAATGATGCGAAAAATCATAGAGAGCTCACATGGTCACTCATTAAAAAATCATGAGTTGAATCATGGAAATAAAATGACATGTGCAGCGTGTTCTCTTGGAAAATTGATCATAAGGCCATCGCCAACCAAAATTGATAAAGAATCACCAAAATTCCTTGAACGAATTCAAGGCGATATTTGTGGACCGATACATCCACCATGTGGACCATTCCACTATTTTATGGTAATGATTGACGCATCTAGCAGATGGTCACATTTTTGTCTATTGTCATCTCAAAATTTGGCATTTGCGAGATTTATAACTCAGATAATCAAATTAAGAGCTCAGTTCTCTGATTATTCCATTAAGAGAGTTAGACTAGACAACGCTGGTGAATTCACATCCCAAGCATTCAATGATTATTGTATGGTAACGGGAATTGAAGTTGAACATCCTGTAGCTCATGTTCATACACAAAATGGCTTGGCGGAATCATTAATTAAACGTCTGCAATTGATTGCAAGACCATTGATCATGAGATCAAAACTTCCAACCTCTGTATGGGGACATGCCATTTTGCATGCAGAAGCACTCATTCGGATAAGACCAAGTGCATACCATAAATACTCCCCACTACAGTTAGCATTTGGTCGAGAACCAAATATATCCCATCTAAGAATTTTTGGTTGTGCGGTGTATGTGCCTATAGCACCACCACAACGTACAAAGATGGGACCAAAAAGAAGGTTGGGAATATATATTGGCTGTGATTCTCCATCAATTATAAGATACCTAGAACCGCAGACAGGTGATGTCTTTACGGCACGATTTGCCGATTGTCATTTTGATGAGAAAGTATTCCCGGTTCTAGGGGGAGAAAATAAGCAAGTAGGAAAAGAAATTAAATGGTGTGTACCATCCCTGTTACACCTTGATCCTCCTACAAAACAGTCAGAAATAGAAGTTCGACGAATTGTGCATTTGTAAAGTATAGCAAATCAACTTCCCGATGCTTTTGCAGATACCAAAACGGTAACTAAATCATATATACCAGCTGCAAATGTTCCTACTCGAATTGAAATACCACAAGAACGTGGAGGAGCAGATGATACACGTGAGTCTAAAACACGTTTGAAACGTGGTAGACCAGTTGGTGCTAAGGATAAAAATCCTAGAAAACGAAAGGAAGTTGAAAAGCATGATATTCCCAAAATAGCAGAAAGCATTTTGGAAGAAACGAATCATGAGTCTAATGACAATGATGAGCATCATGAGCCTGAAGGAAACCATGAGATTTCTATCAACTATATCCATAATGGAAAGATCTGGGATCGAAATAAAATGGATGAAGTTAATGACGTTTTCTCATACCTTTTGTCAAAGGAAATTGATGAGGAAAACGAGGATCCAGAACCAAAGTCTGTATATGAATGTCAAAAGAGACATGACTGGATAAAATGGAAAGATGCAATACAAGTCGAACTTGATTCGCTCAATAAGCGAAATGTATTTGGACCTATTGTAATCACACCTGAAGATGTGAGACCGGTTGGATATACAAATGGGTTTTTGTTAGAAAACGAAATGAGGAAAATGAAATTACGAGATACAAGGCTCGTCTCGTAGCTCAAGGATTTTCTCAAAGACCCGGGATTGATTATGAGGAAACATATTCCCCCGTTATGGATGCAATAACGTTTAGATTCTTGATGAGTCTAGCGGCTGATGAAAATTTAGAAATGCGTCTCATGGATGTTGTTACAGCATATTTGTATGGATCATTAGATACAGATATCTATATGAGAGTTCCCGACGGGTTTAATATGCCAGAAGCATTGAAATCTAAACCAAAAGAGTTATGTGCAATAAAGTTGCAAAGATCATTATATGGGTTAAAGCAATCTGGACTAATGTGGTATAATCGTCTCAGTGAACATTTAACGAAAGAAGGATACGTGAACGATCCTATATGCCCATGTGTTTTCATCAAGAAAACAAAATCTGGATTTGTGATAATCGCGGTATATGTTGATGATCTAAATATAATTGGGACTCAAGATGAAATACAGAAAGCAACAAACTATTTAAAAGGGGAATTCGAGATGAAAGATCTCGGACAAACAAAGTTTTGTCTTGGCCTACAAATTGAACATTCCCAAAAGGGTATATTTGTGCACCAATCCACGTATACTAAAAGAGTGCTAAAACGATTCAACATGAATAAGGCAACTCCTCTTAGTACTCCTATGGTCGTTAGATCACTTAACGTTGAGAGTGATCCATTTCGACCGCATGAGGAAAATGAAGAGATACTTGGTCCTGAAGTACCATATCTAAGTGCAATTGGAGCCCTTATGTATCTTGCGAATTGTACAAGACCTGATATATCATTTGCCGTTAATCTTTTGGCAAGATTCAGTTCATCTCCTACGAGAAGGCATTGGAATGGGATTAAACATATCTTCCGATATCTTCAAGGGACGATAAATTTAGGATTATTTTATCCTAAAAATTCAAAAGGGCAAATGGTTGGTTTTGCAGTTGCGGGATACTATCAGATCCACATAAAGCCCGATCACAGACTGGATATGTCTTTACAATCGGAGGCACTGCTATATCCTGGCGTTCCCAGAAGCAAACGCTTGTGGCTACTTCTTCAAATCATGCTGAAATCATTGCACTTCATGAAGCAAGTAGAGAATGTGTATGGTTGAGATCAATAAGCCAACACATACAATCAAGCAGTGGGATCAACACAAACAAAGAGCCAACCATCCTATATGAAGATAATGCTGCATGCGTTGCCCAAACGAAGGAAGGGTATATCAAAAGTGATAGAACCAAACATATCCCTCCGAAATTCTTTTCATACACCCAAGAACTTGAGAAGAATAAAGACATTGAAGTCAAATATGTCCGATCATGTGACAATGCTGCAGATCTCTTCACAAAATCACTACCTACCTCGGTGTTCAAGAAGCATGTCTATGCTATTGGAATGCGCCACCAACGAGATCTGTAAAGTTGATCACTCGAGGGGGAGACTACGTCGTTGTACTCTTTTTACCTACTAAGGTTTTTCCCACTGGGTTTACTTAGAAAGGTTTTTAACGAGGCAACAGAAGATATTACGCAAGAGACATAGTGACACTGGTCTCCAAGGGGGAGTGTTGTAAAAGTCAACAAAAGAGGCAACGAAAATTTCAATAATATACGCATACACATGCGTATGACGTTTCGTTGTTTATTAATTTATGTGGAGCCCACGTCCCTATGCACGCATAGTAATTTACTTTTTTTACGTCTATATAAACGAACGAAATCGTTCGTTGTAAATTACAATTCGCATTACTTCAATTATAAGAGAAGTAACAAACATCTCTCTCTCGTCTCTTTACTATTCAGTATCCGATCCTTCTGCGGGTATAAAATTTCTCTCTTATTTATTATTTATATTCACCTATAAATAAAGTAATTATTTATAACATGTGTCACGATAAAATTGCCACATGTCACAATCCTATGAGTTATTTACTTTGAAAATCATACTTTATATAATAAGATTAGATGCTTTGGTTTTGTTTTGGTTAACCGATCGGTTAAGTCAGAAACCGAACCGAACCTTCGTTCGTATCTATCTCTCCAGTCGCAATAACAGCCGCATCTCTCTCCCAGGCCTGTCTTATTTGGATAGGTATTTTGATATCACAGCCGCATCTCTCTCCCCAGCCGCATCTCTCTCCCCGGCGAAGATGGAGCAATCGTTGCCCTATGACAATCGAATTGGTACGCTGATATTACAATTTCGTCACCTCTCTTCATTTTATGTTTGTGAATCAAGAGTTTGGCTTCCATTTTTCTAGATTCTGAATCGTCAGACCAAGTTGTGAATCCATGGGAAGTGTCAGCCAAAGACGGAGGGAAGATCGATTACGATAAGCTTATTGACAAATTTGGCTGCAAAAGGCTCGACGAGTCACTGATCGATCGTGTTGAAAGACTGACTGGTCGTCAGCCACACAAATTCCTTCGCCGTGGTGTTTTCTTCGCCCACCGGTTAGCTAATTTTCTGTATTTGCTAATGATTCAACAAGTTTTTATGATCCTTTTAATTTTTGAGCGGATTTACAGGGATTTCAATGAAATTTTGGATGCTTATGAGAGCGGAGAAAGGTTCTATCTCTACACCGGAAGAGGACCTTCATCAGAAGCTTTGCATTTGGGTCATTTAATTCCTTTCATGTTTACCAAGTAAGTGTGGGAGAGACCATTGTTTTGGAACCATTTGATTCTTACTTGTCCCTTTATTTATGCTCCATATGGCTGGCTTGCAGATACTTGCAAGAAGCTTTCAAGGTTCCCCTTGTTATACAGCTCACGGATGATGAAAAATTCATGTGGAAGAACTTAACGGTGGAGGAAAGTGAAAGACTTGCCAGGGAAAATGCCAGAGATATAATTGCTTGTGGATTCGATGTAACAAAGACCTTCATTTTCTCCGACTTTGACCATGTTGGCGGGTACGTTATACTAGTCAAATATGTTTGGGGTTTTGATGTTCACATTACAGTTTCCTAATTATGTGCAAAATCTTTGTTTGTAGCGCTTTCTATAAAAATATGGTCAAGGTCTCCAAGTGTGTTACACTAAATAAGGTGACTTTACTCTCTCTATATATCTCCTTGAATTTCACAATGTGGCTCGTCATGTTTGCTTTATGAGTTCCTAGTTTTAATTTTTGTATCTCTTCTTTTGCTAGGCTAAGGGAATCTTTGGCTTTTCCGGTGAAGATCATATCGGGAAACTCAGTTTCCCTGCTGTGCAGGTACTTCTTTTTCCCCGTTTCTCTAGGTACGTGAATTCTAAACTTATCATATTTAAATTTGATTCTATATATTTTCAGGCAGCTCCATCTTTTCCTAGCTCATTTCCACATCTGTTCCCTGGAATGGACAAGCTCCGTTGCTTGATTCCTTGTGCAATTGACCAGGTGTGCTGTTTTAATTTCTTACTTTGTATCTTAACGTGTTTGATTTTGGAAGATAAATAACTTCTCATTTGTGGTTTAAATTGTCTGCCAGATTGGAACACTTTAAATCCAAATTTATTCTCTTTATGGTTCTTTGTGTATCATCATTATATGTGCTGCGTTTGTATCTATAAATAACAGTCAATCTTTCCTTTTGTATAAATAACAGCCAATCTTTGCTTTTGGTTTTATTCAGGATCCGTATTTTAGAATGACTCGTGATGTTGCACCTCGGTTAGGCTATAGCAAGCCTGCTCTAATTGAGTCATCATTTTTTCCTGCTCTGCAGGCAAGTGTTTTCTTAACTAGTCAAAGGATTTTGCAAGTTATAGATATAGATATTTGCTAACACCTTGTACACTACACTTTCTTGTTTTCCAACTATTGAATGCCTTGGTCACTTTTTGCAGGGAGAGAACGGGAAAATGTCTGCTAGTGATCCAAATTCCGCTATCTATGTGACTGATACCGCAAAGGACATTAAAAACAAGGTGAACTCAGTAATTTGAATTTGTTTTGGTTTTTTTCCAAGTATTTACTTACATGTCTATTTTGGTTTCCACATACATATTCATTGTCTGGTTTGGACAGCACCTGAATCCTTCCACTTATTACTTTGTTGGTGTAACAGTATTTTAGTGTCAAACTTTACAGATCATTAGATACCACTCCTAATAATGAAATTAGATCATTGCTTCCAATATCTAAAGTTGATGTGGTTCCATATGCAGATAAACAAAGCGAAAAGTGGTGGGCACCAGTTCTCGGTGGATCAACATGAACTCGGAGCAGATCTCGAGGTACCAAATTCTTTGTTTTGCTTCCTTCCCTTACTCTGTTATAGTTAGGAAATGATTTTCTCTTAGTTAGATACTTAATTGACCAAGTAACCACTCTGTATCAATAGTGGATTCATGCATAACTGTTTTCTTGATACTTGATACTAAATATACCAAGTCTTTTTCTGGTATTCCCATTTCTACTATTTCGCAGAAAGACATACCGTTCAAGTATTTGAGTGTCTTCCTCGAAGATGATTCTGAACTTGAACTCATTAGAAAGGTACACTTGTCAATAAGTTTGTTATTAAGATCACTACGGAGAATGAAGAATGTGTTGTATAGGGGGTTTTTGAATATTGTACTATATATTTTAGCAATATGGAGAAAAAGAAGGAATCATGCAAACAGGACACGTAAAGAAGCGAGTCACCGAAGTCTTGACAGAAATAGTGGAGAGACACCGCAGGGCACGAGCTGCAGTTACCGATGAGGTAAAATCTTTATTCTCAAACTATAAAGACTTAATATCCGACTCTTAAGGAATTTTTAAAAACAAAAATTTCAGATGGTGGAAGCATTCATGGCCGTGAGACCTCTCCCAAGCATGTTCGAGTAGGACTCATAAACCAGAAGAAACCTTCTGGCAGCTCTTCGCAACTTCACATCACATCCTTGGGTCTATCATTGTTTCACAAATTGGGTTTTGTTTCTTCAGAGAATCCTAGCAAGTTAGGATGATTTTAGGGATTTGATTTGAGTCGATTCTCACAGTTCTTAGTGGGAGATTTGCAGTTTGTGTGCTTGTTACTGCAAGGGAATCCATCAAAGGTACTAGCACCAAGATCACTACAACGGTTCTGAACCCAAAGTCTGTCCCCTAACATATTCATTGTTGTACCATGCATGTCCACCGGTGACTCTTTCTACATCATTTTTCTCAATGTACTAGTTTCCATCGACAATGCTACTGCGATTAGTTCCGGCTTCATCGTATAAGGGATACAGTTATTGAGTTTTGGTGTTTTATTTTATGCACTAGAATTATAATTTTGGTGGTATTCCTTTTTAAATTGGGAAAAAAACTATGAACTCTCCATTTAGGCCATTTAAAACATGAATTTTAGATCATGCCATTTTAATCATCACGTTTTGTTGACTTGTGGTTTTAGATATCTAATTTCGTTGACTCGGCCAAAATTAATATAACTTTTAAGTCCAATAACAAAGATGTTAACCGACGTTAACGATTCTCTGTTATTGATAAAATGACACCGTTTTGTCCCGCCTGAAAATCCCCAAATCAACTTAGAAAAAAGAAATTCTCAAATTTGATTCTCGTGAAGCTCGATTTCCATCTCCACCACAAGACTCGGACACGCATACAACCGGTTGAGCTCCACCTCCATCTCTGAGACCAGAATCTGAAACTTCTTGCGGTGGAGCTTCAACTCCATCTCCAACACCATTATCTGATACGCTTTTCCTGGGTGATAAAATATTTGCTATGAAGCTGCTCATTTTGGAAGACAATCGAATTTGAGAGAGAAACAAATTTGGGAAGATATGTTTCTCAGTTGATTTGGAGATTTACGGGTTTGAGTTTCAATTTAGGGACTTTTTGGGTGGGACAACACGGCGTCGTTTTGTCACTCACAGAAAATCGTTAACGCCTAACTAACGCTGGTTAGTATCTCTGTTATCAGACTTAACGTCATGTTAAATTTAGCCGAGTCAACGAAATTACATGTTTAAAAACAAAAGCAACGAAACGTGATGATTAAAATGCTCTGCTCTAAAATTCATGTTTTAAATGGCCTAGATTGGAAAGTTCGAAGGTTTTTTTTTTTTTTGACATTTTTCCCTTTTTAAAATAGGATTAAGGTTTTGTTAATTTCTTTTACACATTAGGAATAAGTCGGCTTGTAAGGGTCTATACAATGCTCTCTTATGATCAATAAGAAACTAACTTCTAACAATTAACCTAATTTTCTTTGAGAGATTTTAAGAGGAAGCTTAGGTTTAAATCTCTTTGTTCTTGAAGCTTTAGCAACAGGTCCGATCACAAGAAACAAAGCCAAACAATTGGCTCTTATAAAAAAACCAGCTCCTGCATCTCCAGAAGCAGGCCATTCAACAAAATGCCTTCCAATTTGATATCACCCAAACCAAAAACTTAAGCTAACAAATCCTCAAATTTCCGCACACACTCTGCAACTGTTTCATCATGTCTGAAACAAAAAAAAAAAAAAGACTCTGACTAGGTCCTTTAACCATCAAATTTTCAAATCCTTCAAGTGATACTAGTTTGCAAATGGTAAACGATTAATCTCCAAGTTAAACAATATGAATGCTTCACCATCCAAATGCACAGAAACTAAATCCATTTTCTCCACTTCAGAGAAACCACTAATTCTGAAAATATCGCGAAATCAATCGGTAGATATTCTCACCCTCAACTACATGCATCTCGACATTTTTCAACAAATTTTCACGATAACCAGGTCCTAGATATCTATGGTTAGTTCCGAGTAAGAGAATGATACCTGATTGCGATAATCCCGTGAAAATGGTTGCTCCAGATGACTTGTTTCCGGTGAATCACGATTTTGCTCAGTCGACAGAAGACAAAGCAAGATCTGATCAAGTGTGTATTGCTTTGTTGCGAGCTTTCTCTTCATGGAGTTTTGAATTCAGTCTTGAATCAGTCAAACAGCTCTAGAGTTAGATTGGAATCAGACGCCGGCGAAGTAGTAAAATGAATCGGCGATAATTTCGAATCTAACACCATTGTCCCAACCTGTGAATGTTGAAGTAATCGATCATGTTGTCACGAGGCACCAATTGTTAAAGAAACAAGCTACGATCTCTTAATTCCTTAACCAAAGAAGAGTACCGACCATAAAGAGACTAGCACATTATCACTAGCTCAGCTCTCGCATCTCACATACGAAGCTTTTTACAAATTTCAACATAAAAATAATGAGTGATACTAAACAATGAGTGATACTTATACTAAAATTTCAACTTACTAAATACTAAATTTATACTTAACAATGAGTGATATTTATACTTAATACTAAATCAACTGTCACTTTAACAAAAATTGCATCATTCTCTGATTGACAGATCAGCTTTTGATGAGGTGTTAAAACAAGAAATTTTGACAATTTACTTTTATTAATTAATTTTTCTTATTTATTTACCTTTTTTTACGGAGATATTGTCGTTTTTATTTTGCTTTTTTTTCTCAACATCCTTTTCTCTTTCATTTGCCACGATCTCCATCTTTTCCACTTCTTCTCCTCCAAAATCTCCATGACCTACTACTGTATGTATAAAATCTCAAGGATGGTCTTCTCAATATCTTACATCGATTATTCTCTGAAATCAGGTACTTTCTTCATCCCGAAGAACCAATTTACAATCTCCTATTTCTGTTTTAATTTTATTATATATAGCTGTCAAAGATTCTTTAAATATGTAGATTTATCCTCCATAGATCTGATAAATCATATACCTTACCGTTCCTTTAGATTTCCATGGTTTCTGTTATTTATTTTATACGTCTCTGTTTTACATGGTTGGATTCCTTTGAAACTAGATATCTTTATTTTGATATTTAAGTTTTTTGGTACACTAATTAATTGTTTTCAACAACTGAATCGAAGTCGGAGAGATGACGTTATATAATTCAATTTGATTGACTATCTTAAATCGTTTAACTTTTAACATGTTATTACTTTTCATGTACATGAAAAAATAGAAGTAAATTTTTGAAGATAGAATGCCGCTAGACGTAACACCCGTTTCACAACTTAATTTTGATCTCTCGGCATGCAATGTTAAAGTCTGAATTGCTCGTACCTGGACAACTTACTTGCTCTACTATAGCATACTTTTATTTTATACTTACAGTTAAGTATCCCTTTTCTTTCTTGATGTTACATACATCTCATTTGGAGCTTACTCTGCTTCTTCGTCGCTTCCATTTTCGACCAATCCTTTTTATCTCTCTCTGATCTCACCTTATGGATAATCCATCCCTGTGTTCTTTTGTATGTAATCGTCGCTTAAAGTATCTCACATTGATTTATGCTTAATTAATTGCTTATCACTCTCTCACAAATCGTCTCAACATAAAAGATAAAACTAACAATTTTGCTGGGTAATCGAAGGAAAGAGATGAGAGTGAGTTTTTTCACTTGTTAATTGTTTTACACGTGTATTTATTATTCTCACCCCACTTTTTTTTTCGGTTTCTCATCCCAACTCTCCTTTTTTTTTGGTTTTTATTATAAACTTTCTAAAGTATACATATTCTCTTAAATTCTAACAAACTTTTGTTATTTCAGTAAACCATAAGTCTGTTAGAGTAATAAGATAAATGTAAATCTTTCAAATCTTATTATGTAAATCTTTTGTGTATATCTTCTAGAACTCTCTCTTGTAAGCCTATATATAGAGGCCTCTCTATTCATTAATAATATACAAGTTTACCTTTTCTACATGGTATCAGAGCTTTCGATCAAAACACAAAAACCCTAAAAAAAATTTTCTTCTTCTCCTACACGCCTCGTCGCGCCGCCGCTACAGACCAAGTGTCTCTTTCATCACCGGCCCTTCTTCAATCGTTATCATGAGTGAAGAAGTCTCATCAGCTTCAACATCCACGAGAGTGCCCATCTTTAACATAGATGATGCAACTCCAACTCTCATATCCGTGAACATGTCAAATATCACAAAATTGACATCCATGAATTATCTCACGTGGCGTCTACAGATCACTGCCCTCCTAGAAGGACACGAGCTTCACGGTTTTATTAGTGAAACCGATCAAGCTCCACCGCCACAAGTTACCTCCGGGACTGCAACAATCCCTAACCCTAAGCTTAAGCATTGGACAAGACAAGATCGTCTTCTCTACAGTGCTATCATTGGCACTCTATCTCTTCAAGTGCAACCGATGGTTTCACATGCTCAGACCACTCGTGAGATCTGGATTAAACTCGCCAAGACGTATGGTAACCCATCCAGAGCACACATCAACCAAATCAGACAACAACTCAAAACCATCTCCAAAGGAAATCAATCGGTTGAAGAATACATGAAGAATGTTGTTACTAAAGCTGATAAGTTAGCGCTCCTTGGCTCACCATTACCGCATGAAGACCTTCTTGATCACATCACTACTGGCTTGGATGATGATTACCGCCCAATCGTGGAGCTTGTCAATGGCAGAGAAACTCCGATATCTATTGAAGAGTTACATGAGAAACTCCTCAACAGAGAGAACACGCTTCGTACCATTGCGGAGACAACATCAACGGCTGCTCCTGCGTCTGCAAACATGGCACAACACAAGTACAACAACAACAACAACTCCTCTAAACCAAACCAGAATCAGTACTACAACAACAACAACTATGGAAGAGGAAGAGGTGCTGGAAGAGGATCACAAGGACGTGGGTACCAAGGAAGATGTCAAATTTGTGGTATTCATGGTCACAGTGCACGTACTTGTCGTCAGCTTGCTTCACCACAATGGTCTCCGCCGTCACAATATCCGCCACCACCATCTCCGAACATGTGGAATCAGTCATCACCGATGCCGCCTCCCAACTGGCAACCACGAGCTCATTACACAGCCTCCACTAACTATTCACAAGCTCCATGGTTGCTAGATAGTGGATCAACTCATCATATTGCTACAGATATAAGCAATATGTCCATTGCGGGTCCGTACAATGGAGGTGAAGAAGTTGTCGTAGGCAATGGTGCTGGCTTACCAATTACCAATACGGGTTCCACTACTTTCCCTACTCCGACTAAGAATTTATTACTTGATAATGTC